CACTCTTGCTGCCTCTGTATGAGGGGCAGGGGAAGGGACGGGAGCAGTTTCACCCCAGCACAGTCTCTTTCTCCCCCCCCCCACAGCGGGGAGGGGAAGCGGGGCTGCTGGACCCAGTGTGGGTCCAGGACCACCGTGCTGCTGCATTTTATGTGTCATAAGAGTCGCCAGCTCTTTCTACATTTAAAATATAAGTAGAGCCTGCCCTTATCAACTAATGGTGTAGTCAACACACATTGTATCAACTACACCAGGGGTGGCCAGCAGTTAGACACGAAGAGCTAAAAGAGCTGTGGATAGTAGTGTAAAGAACCACACATCCCTCCCTCAGAGCCAGGCACCCCCAGGTCCCTCCCACTATATAACCCAGCCCCCCCAGCTCTCCCCCCCCCCAGCTCTCCCCACTCTAACCCAATGCCTTCCCCCTCCCCATGACCTCTCCCATTCTAACCCAGTGCCTGGGTCTCACCGGAGTTCCCACCGCCACAGTCATACACTAAGTATGAGCCGTAACCCTGACAGCTGCATTTCTGTGAGCAAAAAGCTTCATGTGGCTCAAGAGCCACTGGTTGGCCACCCCTGAACTACGCGATTGGCGAAATACTCATTCCTTAATGTCCTTAGTGCTAGTGTCTGTCGTCTTAAGCTGGGAATTACTCCTTCCAGCTGCAGTGTAGACATATGCTCAGTAAGGAACTCCTGAGTTATTGTGTTGGCTGTGCCAATGTGTTCTGGGCAATTCATGTAACTCTGGTATTTGCTTCCTCAGCTGTAAAATATATATATGTATATTTCTTGCTTTGAGGTGTTTTATATGGGTTAGTTAATGTTTGTACTGCATTTTGACAAGGTGAAGCGTTGTAAGTGTGGGTCATTACTGTGGTACTGAGTTTGAATATGTCACTATAGCTTCAGGTTCTACTTTCTTGGATCTGTCTATAATGGGGTAGGCAAAGAGGCCTCTGTGGGCCAGATTCAGACCATGGACACTCTGTCAACCTCTCGCTTCCTGCCCCTGTGTAGGCAAAGAGGCCTCTGTGGGCCAGATTCAGACCATGGACACCCTGTCAACCTCTCGCTTCCTGCCCCTGCCCTGCAAGCGCCGTTTGCCTCTTACAGGGGGAGAGAGACTTGGTGCGCTCCTCCTGCCCCCAGGCCCTGATTGGCCTGGGGGCAGGGGAGCACGCGAAGTTTCCTCCTGCCCTACAAGGGATGATTGGCCTGAGGGCAGGGGAGCACACGAAGTTTCCTCCTGCCCACAAGGGGACAGAACATGGAAGCGTCCTGGTCCTGCCCCTTCCAGGGTGGCCCGGGGTCACTTCAAAAATTAGTGAAATGCACCCCCCGCCCCAGTCTAAAATCATTGCCAACCTTTGGTCTATAAGTTGGAATATCAATCAGCCCCAGAACATAATGGGAAGAGGGTTGGCCTTGCAATGTATCATGGGAAGGTGATTTTTCATCTTTAAGGAGTCCAAGAATGTAAATTATTCTTCACATGCAGCTTGGAGTGCGGTGTCAGGCCTGCACCATGCAGCTGGCTCTAGTCTTCTCTTCAGCAGTAGGACCTGGGGAAGTGACCATACCAGGGGAGTTGGCAGACTTGCTGGGCCCCGGGCTAGGTTTGAGGATGGGGTTTCCCCTCTCCAGCATTTTAGAGCACTGCCCTGTACTGGGTTCCCTCCTTGGGACCTGGATTAACAAACACCTATCTATGGACAATATCTGGTGCCTGTACGTTAGCTCTCCTGACTATTGTTCTGCATCTGGGGTTTATTCCATAGACCATCCTGGGGGAAACACAAGAAGAAGATGAGATTCTTCCACGCAAGGATTATGAGGTGAGAAACTAAATAGTTGCAGCTTGTGAAATGTGTGAGGAAAGAGGTGGGAGGAGACTGGATCTCAATCCTTTGATAGTGACACAAGAACCAAATCATCATTGCAATGAGTGCTATTTGGCACCTTTGGTATTAGCAGACATGCCGAGAATTGGGTGGGCAATAGAGAGCTACCTCTCAGTACTGGAGATGGTTTTGCTAGGCAGGGTTCAGGTCCGATGGTTGGAGGGAAGCCTGCACAGCTGCCATCTAGGCAGGAGCCATTTCTGAGGTCAGGGTCCCAGGATCCTCACACTGGCCCCCTTTCATCAACACTGTATTTATTTGACTCTATAGTTCAATTTCTTATGATTTCCTAGTAGCTGTAGGATGTAAATGTCAACAGTCAGCTATAGCTGCCTCCTTGAAATGTCTGGGAGCTTCCTGGCCAAGAGCCATCCCCTTTCTACTCATCAGGTTCCGATTCCTTGGGAAGTTTTTCATTTTCTTACTGGAGGATGGGTGCAGTTGGGTTGGCCCCAGGGCATCCTTTCGCCATTTGGCTTGTAGAGGGAAAGATGCTGCAGACAACTGAGATGGCTGGAGTGCTGCACTTGCAAACCACAGCTCATGATACAGCTCAGTCTTGCTATGCATCTCCTATAGTATACAGTACAGTCAAGACCCTGTGTGTTGCTTCCTGCATGTGATGAGCCTGTCATCTGTTCTGGAATCTCTCCAGTTGCCTGGAGAGGAGTTTCTCAGCTGGTGACCTTTGTCTCAAGCAGTTCATATTTCTGGGGAGTTGAGGCATAGGGATGAGGAGAGGCCCTATAGAACCCTTCTGTGACATACATCGCTTTTAGGAGGAGGAGAATTAGGCATACCATTTTAATGCAGTCCATTGCACCGTGGAATTTGAATTAGGGTCTCTGTCAATCAAAAATCCTGCTTCAGTCATGTGTGTTACGACTACTTGAGATTAAAACCAGATGGAAAGCAACTGACATTTTCAATCTCCTACTATGCTTTCTTGTTCACTTGTGTATTTTGCACAGTTTGGGCAGTGAACTAGATTGGCCTGTTTCCCTTCCTGGTTTGCAGGTGCTAATAATGCTGTAAGATTTGGGTTTCCAGACCCACAGCAGTAACGTTTCAATCTCTCAAAACCTCTGTAATGCCTCCCAAACACTTCTGCTCTTTATGGAGTCTGTCAAACCTACATATAGAGCCTGAATTATTGCAGCAACCTTTAACATGCTTCCCCATCTCCAGCTGTGAACCTCATAGTTCTAGATCAGTCACAGCTTGATCAGTTTCAGCTGTTTGTCTCCCGTTAACCCTGTGGTGTCCTTTGCCAGAGCTTGGATTATGACCGATGTATCAATGATCCCTACTTGGAAGTACTGGAAAGCATGGACAACAAGGTAGGATCCTATTTGCGCTCTCCCATTTTGCTGGTTTAAGAGAACCAAATCCACTGCAATAAACCTCCCCTGCAGCCAAATCCACCGCAATAACCTCCCCTGCTGACCACTGTTCACATGGGAGAAGTATCATTTACCTTTGTGCTCTGCTCCACTACTTTATCAAAGGGGGAGAAGTAGCCATGGTGCTCCCACAGCACCTATTCCGAACCTCAGGTTTAACATGATGTATTTATCATTCATACTCCCTCTCCCCAGTCCTCTGATTCCTCTCAGGATACTGGTGTGTGCCCACAGTTTTATCTCTCCAGCTGGTGACTATGATGTCACATTTCCCTAGTCCCCATTTGTGTGCTCTTTGACTTGCCTATGTTTCCTTGCCCTACACAGAAAGGCCAGAGGTACGAAGCAGTGAAATGGGTGATGGTTTTCGCCATTGGAGTCTGCACTGGACTGGTAAGGAGCCTGTTGGGTGATAAGCAGGGAAATGTATTGGAACCAAGGACAAACCAAGAGAGCACCTTGTGTTTCATGAAGAAGGCTGCTTTGCCTGTGGCTGCTGCTGGACCTTTCTGAGCATCGCTAGGGCGTGCATTTTCTTTCTAAAGGGCAGGTTTCTTCTCCTCTTGGTGTGTTTTCCTTGTAGGTTTTCCTTGTAGATCCTCAAATGCTAATATTCTGCTTGCAGTGAGTCCTGCCTTTAAGAAACCATTTGATGGAATCATAAAATTGGACATGAAGTTGGAGTACAACTGTATCCTCAGACATACTGCATGCTAGCTTCACTGTGTGTTTGGATCTTCTGGGGTGCCTCTGAAGTTGGGGAGGCTCTGTGCATGTCTCAGATTTAATAGACTGTTAAGATCAGGGCTCTGTTGACAGATGGATTCAGCTAATAGGCTGTTAAGATCAGGGCTCTGTTGACAGAGCTGCTCCTGTGAGACAGATGGATTCAGTGGCAACTTGCCCCTGCTGCTGATGTGCTTACATGAAGGTATCTCTTTCCCAGCTCTTATCAGTTTGCCTGGGCAGTCGTATATGTGCTTACATGAAGGTATCTCTTTCCCGGCTCTTATCAGTTTGCCTGGGCAGTCAAACGGAGAGATCATTGCCTCATCTTGATTACAGGAAGGAGGTGAATGCATTTGAGAAGAGCCTGGCAGGGAGCAAGTCTGAACATCCAGAGTTACTTTGTCTTGACTCACCTTCCCTACTCATGGGACTTAGCAGCCTGTATGTGGGCTGTGATGCATAATTGCTGCATTACCAGTGTTCAGTCAGACTGCAGCTGTCCTGGTGGGGTGATCTGTTGGCATTTGCAAGTAATTGATCTCTGATGCCAGGTTTCTCCTCTTCTCTCTTTTACAGGTGGGCCTATTTGTGGATTTCTTTGTGCGACTCTTTTCCCAACTCAAATTCCATGTCGTACAAACCTGTATCCTTTATGTGGTGTCTGGCTTATTGTTGAACTGAATTGACCTCTTCTTTAAAACCATCGCCTTGCCCTGAAAGGCTTCATTCTACCAGGGTGGAGGCGTTTATTAACCAGTAAATTTCCTACTGTGGGTTCTGCTTCAGTAGCTGGGACAGTCCCTCTGGCTAAGGTGACAGAGCATGAATAGCACGGTGTCCTGTGTAACAGGGTGCTTTCCAGCCTGCTCTTCCTACCACTGAAACCGTTGGCAAAACTATTAACCAGAATCTGGGCTTTGAATCATTGAGACCAAGAGAACTGGTTGACCTGCCCCTGTTTTGTAAGAAATCCCTGCCAGGGAGTCTCTGCAGCAGCCCCTTTAAAATGATTTGTTGTTAAATCATCAGCAATGCCTGTTAGATCCTCCCTGCTGTCTTTCTGCAAACCTGTGGCTTTCTAAACCATGTGTTTCCCTAGCTCCTTCTCAGAGGAGCTGCTTTATATGTCATGCACAGAAGGGGCCCTCTGCTTTACTTGTCCTTCTCTGTTGCTGGGCCCTGTGAACTGTCCGCCTGGACAGCACATAGAAGAGGAAGCCATAATGAGTTTGCAATGGAGCTGCTGTTCAAGACCACTTTGTGGTTACTGGGGAAGTGCCCAAGGAGTGGGCTGTCTTCCTGGGAAACGCTGATCCATGAAAGAACATCATTGGCCTGTCAGATACTCCTGCTGACTTGTGGTTTGGGCATCTTAGAGTTAGTCCAACTTGGTCAGGGAGGCTGGGGTGGGAGCCTGCCTTCTGAAAATTGGCACGAGAATGGGAGATTCAGCTTTGGACCCTGGTAAGAATGGGCTGACTGAGGTGTGTGTTCCCATTGCCTTGACTCCCTCTCTGCAGCGGTGGAGGAGTGCAGTGAAAAGGGCTGCCTTGCTGTGTCCCTACTGGAACTGCTGGGATTTAACCTGACCTTCGTCTTCCTTGCCAGCCTTCTTGTCCTGATTCAGGTGAGAATGCTTTTAATACATTCTTTCCGCCCCCTCCCTCCCTTGTGTCAGGCAGGTAACGCACACAGTCTGTTGCCTACTGCAGCACCTTCTGACTCAAGATTTCAGAGCATTTTACAAATATGAATGAGTTTTGCCTTCAGTGCAGTTTCCCGTCATCCCTTTCTGCATTCACTTGTGGGAGATCGTTAGTCTGCGGAGGTGCTGATGCGCTGTGTTGTGTTACGTGTCCTCCCCACAGCCCATAGCAGCTGGCTCTGGAATTCCGGAGATTAAGTGTTACCTGAATGGCGTGAAGGTGCCAGGGATAGTCCGTCTCCGGACGCTGGTGTGCAAAGTGCTTGGAGTGCTCTTCAGCGTGGCTGGAGGTAAGCGGGAGATGGCAGATGCATCGTGGACTAAGTGTGTGGTGGTGAGGAGCAGGGTGTGACGGAAAATCTCCAGGAGAGCCAGTCGGTAGTGGCTCTGCACCTTTGTAGCCAGTTATGGCAAGGAGATCTAAGACCCTGCTCATAAATGCTTGCTGGGAACGTGCTGCCTAGAGCTGCCTGAGTGGGCACCAGGAAGCATTTCCACCACGCCTTGGGTGAGCGCAGACACTGGGAATGGCAGCCCTTTCTGATGGGTGTAGTAGTACAGGTGAAGGGCCACGCTTCTGGTGCATGGCTGGTAGCAAGTGCTCACTGTGCAGTAGCATGTCTGCCCAAACATGTATGCGCCCCAGTGGGATCTACCTGCCTTCCATTGCCTGGACTATTGACATCCTGGAATTGTGCAGCATTCCTGGGGTTCTCCCTTCCGTCACCTCTGGAAGAGCAGGCTCCTACTTCGGGGGTCTGCATTCAGCCTCCATGCTGGGTAGAGTGTTGGGATCTAGCTCTTCCCAGGCACAGGAGTGACTGGCTTCCTTGCTCCATGGCCACTCTGTACTCTCCTGGTACTGCAGAGCAGGACAGAGTGTGCTGGGTTTATCTCAGACTTCTGCAACAAGAACACTTTCTGTTTTTTCAGGTCTCTTTGTAGGGAAGGAAGGCCCTATGATACACAGTGGCGCTATTGTGGGTGCTGGCTTGCCTCAGGTTAGTGCTGGAAATGCACTGAGACTCTGACTTGGGTTCTGTCTGGGATAGGTTAGGCAGTGAGAATGTTGTTCGGACGTTTATCCTTTCTTAGACCCATGGATAAGATCAAGCGTAGAGTGTGTTGGATGAGTTCCCTTAGACTGATCTAATGAAGGAAGGATGATATGGCTGCGTTGGCCTGGTTCTGCTCCCTTTCCACTGTGAGTTTCTAGGTCAGACATCTGGGCCATCTTAAATCTGTGCGCATGCTATAATCACCTCCCTCAGCTACCTGGTGAGGATTATTCCAGGCTCAGGAGAAACCCAGCCCTAAGCAGGGATAAAGACAGGCTCCCCGTGACAGGATCAGTCAGAAATCCTCTTGAGATCATTCCCTAATGGGCTGGTCATACTACTAAGCCCACACACCTGCCCTCTGGGGCACCCCTTCACCAATGTTTCCACTAATCTTTTCCACCCATGTGCAGAATAATTTTATATGTGAATGTGCACCACCAGTAGAAACCAAAAACATAGCTGTGGACGCTCTGCTAATCTGCTGGGTGGCATTGAAATCTCTCCTAAGTGGCCGCAGGGAACACTGTCCTCCACCTTGTCCTGCTGAGCCAGACCCTCTGGTCTTTCCCGGCCAAGGCACAGAATTGGGGTCACAACCCACCGCAGAACAACACAAACACTGAGAACAGCTCATCTCAGGAAAGGCTCAGTCACAGGGATGTGACACACGCTCACATGCACAGCCCCAATGAGATCAGAACCCCAGATAACTTACGAGCTTACTCTGTATGAAACTTTCATGCAGAATAAGGAGGATTTGTTTGCTCCCTTTATCAATGAAAGAAAGATCTGCCCAGCTGTTATCCCTCCCCAGATGACAATCATTTACACTTGTTTTATTAATAAACGTGATTTTATTAAATAGAAAAAGTAGGATTTAAGCGGCTGCAAGTGATAAGACCTATCATAGTAAGTTACTAAGCTACATAACACAAAATATGCCAGCTAAGGTTAATATTCAAAGAAACTTGTAAACATGCAATTTCTTACCTTAATGGTAGTTCGTTATCATCTTTACTGACAAGCTATGCAGCTTCCTAGCTTGGGCATGATCCTTTCCTCTGTTCAGTCTTCCCAAAAGCCATCTGGGTGGTCAACAGGGGGTGTCTTGGTGTCCGGCAACTGCCTATTGTTTTGATTTCCTACCTATAATTGGATTTTGGCCAAGGTGGGAATTCTTGGTATTCCTTTTTAATCCCTATGGAAAAGTACCCCCATGGTGTAGGTGGAGGTGGAGCTTGGTGGTATTCCTTTTTAATCCCTATGGAAAAGTACCCCCATCCAAAATGGGTTCAAGCATCAGGTGACCTGGTCATATGTCTTGGCAGAACAAGTGCTTGAGGTCCCTTCCAGTCCTATTATTCTATGATTCTAAAAACAGAACTATTCACAGATCATTGTCACGAGTACCAGGCTATTAAGTTCCTTGAGTACTATTAATGGCCTTCATTAGCACATCTAGTTCTATAAACAGGTTTATGCTTCATATTTTTAACTTCAAGTATAGGAATGACACATGCACGCAGATACACATTCAGGGGATGGCAGTTTCTCCAAAGATAGGTTACATGCCACGCACTGCATAAAGCATATTCAAGTTAGTTTCTTTTTTAATAAGAATATGCCTATTTCCATAAAAAATATGGGGGTGCAGCATCACAACAATCTCCTTCTGCAGTGGCGGCTCCTAGGTGTGTGACTAAAGCGAAAGGCAGCACACAGGGTAACCGTTTGCCTTGTGCTAGAACAGGTGGCAAATGACAGCGCTTTCTCCAGCTCTCGAGGCCTCCTGAGTACAGACGCTGCCTCCTGGCTCAGCCTTGAGGCCTCTGGAGTGTAAGTGCTGGCTTCAGGGCCCCTGTGTTGGAGTGTCTGGAGATCTTCTGTACATGCTGAGGAAGGAGGAGGAAACTGACCCTGATCCCCAGTGGGATACATGCCTGTTTAAGCCAAGATGTTGCAGGAAGGGAAGGGAGCATTGGACCTTTCTCTCCCTCGTGCTGAGAGGAGAGGTCAGCAGAGGCAGGTAGTGTGTGCTGTGCTGAACTCATCCTAGGGCAAAGCTCCCAGCTCCTGCATGCACTGAGCTCTTCAGGATCTGCTCCTAGAGCAACCAATCCCTTATCACAAAGTACATTTCCTTGTCCCCTTTTCCCTTTGCTACATCCCTATAGTGGGAGTAACAATATACAGGCAAGAGAGTTGCGTGTTTCCTAAGTTTTGGCTGCTCCCAAAGGCTGTTGAGGGTAGGAGGGGGAGGGGGCTGCCTTGGTTTATCATTTTATCAGTTTTGACTCTGTCCTTCTGTTTTTCAGTTCCAGAACT